ATATGCATTGATTCTGCCATCATCTTTATTCATTGTCCATCTCTCAGACGTGTAGCAGTTGACTGGGAAGACTTGAATTAAAAGCACCTTAGTCTTTAAACTGATGTTATTGTTTTACAAGACTTTGGAAATATACCAGATAGCAGACTTTCCCAATGCTGTACCTATCCTGATCTTTTGACTTCTGGTTCTAAGAGTACCTAGTTATATGGATCCAAGCAAGATGAAATCACTAACAATTTTAATCTTTCTCCATCTTGATGTTGCCTATTGGCCCAGTGGTGAGAATTTGAGGGGTTTTTAAACCCTTTTTTTTTTAAAAAAAAAGAGATAATCCAATACAGTGTGGAAATTTTTGATCAATATAATTAATAACACATGTAACTAAAATCTTGCTGAAGATTATTTAAAAAATGGCTGGAGCTGTACAGTGAACTGCCAAAAATTAAAGATGAACTCAGAAGAGGTTACGAGACATGAAGTGTTAACATTAGATCCATCTTGTCTGAAAGCAGAAGTTATCAGAAAGATTTTTGTGTTTCATTGATTATGCAAAACATTTGTTTGTGCAGAGCATAACAAATTATGTATTACACTGAGAAGAAAGGGAAGTCTAGAGAACTTGATTTTGCTCATGTACTTGTATTGAACCTAAAAGCAAATATTCCAACAGAATAAGCAATAATGCATGTTTTAAAATCAGGAAAGTTGCACATTAGGACAATATCCTTTCACTGTATTGAAGTTGTCAATAACTTCATTTTGTTTGGATCCACAATCCACATCCATGGTAGCAACAGTCAAGAAATCAAATCATGTTGCAGGAAGGAAATCTGCTGTCAGGGATCTCTCAAACCAACAAAGAACAATGATAATCATTTAAAGACTAAAGTGCACCTGATCCACACCATGATATTTTTAATTGCTTCCTATGCATGTAAAAGTTGGCCAGTGAGTAAGGGTGACAGGAGAGAAATCGATGTCTTTGAATTGTAGTGTTGGTGAAGAGTATTGAATATATCATGAACTGCCAAAGGAACTGCCAAAAGTCTTTAAAGAAGAGCAACCAAAGCCTTCCTTAGCGACAAGAATGGTGAAACTTTGCGTCACTTACTGTGGGCGTATTTTTAGGAAGATCCAGTCCCTGGAGAGAGACATCACATTGGGAAGGGGTAAAGTGTGAGAAAAAGTGAGGAAGACTTTCAACAAGATGAACTGATACAGTGATTACCACAATGGGTTTGAGCAGGACAGAGATCATGAGGCTGGCACAGTATAGGGCAAGGTTCAGGTCTGTTGTTCCCAGGGTCACTATTGAGTTGTAATTAACCCTGTGGTGCCTAACAACATTTAATATGTGTCCCGAGCAAATAATTTAAGAAGATAGACTATGTGAAGAAGAATGTTGCATCAGAATTGGAGGAAGACTCAAGAAGAACTTTCATTATGCAGAAGATGCATTTTAAATGTATTTTTTAATTATTATCAATAATTCACTCATTGCCATTGAGTCAAAACAGACTCATAGCTGACCCTCCATTGGGTTTCTGAGGCTGTAAATTGTGCATCTTTGTTCCTTGCCTTTGGGTTATCATTATTACTCCCTAAAGATTAGAGCTCCGTTATAATACTAGAAAGTTCTACAAAATATCAGATAAAATTGAAAATTTTTAAAAGTCCAATTTTTCTATTTTTTAGCCTTTTTTGAAGGAAGTCATAGAAATTTGCTTCTGAAAAATCAGCCATTGAAAACATTATGATGAAATTTGTACTTTTACATGCATGAAGCCAATATGATTAGAAATAAAATCAACAAGTGAGTTTTAGTTGTTGGTTTAGGTGCCAAATATGGATTTAAGCTTTACATGCTTAATTTCATTATTAAAATGATCCTATAACATTTTCTGTTGGTGTGTGCTGTCAATTGGAGTCAAGTAATAGCTGACCCTACAGCAGGATTTCAGAGGAAGGAAATCGCCTAACCTCCCATGGAGCAACTGGTGGATTTGAACTGCATGCCTTTGAGATTGCAGCACAACTTCTTACTACTAGGCCTCCAGTGCTCCTTATAAAATTTTGTAAGATCAGAAAATCTTACAGAAACTATCATCGAGTTCCATGGAAAGATGAATGGATCTTGACAAATTTAATTAATTTCAGATTTTGCAATCTTTTGCTTTCAATTATAAATCCTAAAACATGATGTCTTAAAAATATTTTTGTAACAAATTGTGACACTAGAACATTTTCTTACTTAAAATCTTAGTCAAATATTTATCTTCTGAGTTGTTGCTAATTAGTTTTTACCCAGATTTTTGTCTTATCCTGAAATGTGACAATGCACCTTATTTAGAGGTAAAACAAATTCTGAAACCTCAAACTCATTGCCATAAGGTCTAAACCAACTTGTAAGTGACACTCCAGTGGGGTTTTGAAATCTATAAATCACGTCAGGAGACTGGCCCTCTTTGTCGCATAGAGGCTCTGCCTTTGTGTTGGCAGTGCAATTCACTGTGAATTACACCACCAGAGCTCCCCTCTGGGTTACAGAAACAAAGAAAAATATGCCTGTTAATTCTTCTATGCTACTTGACTTTAAAAATATGTGGGTTACATTTTTTAATTACAAGTGAAATGTCCAAAGGTGATAGTTACTTTGGAGGAAGGTTCTTTAGCTTTATATTGTATCTCACCATGAATCACATATGTAGTGAAATATTCCTAAAGAAAATTCACCTTTCTACTTTACTAGATTTAGATTTGATGTCCTATAATTGTGTTTATAATTGGTTAACTTCTTCCCCTTTAAATGTTCTCTGACTAGAATTCTTAACCAAAATACTTTTTTTTTTAAGGCTAGTCTTCCTGGTGTTTCTCTACTGAAAATCATGAAGTTGAATAAGTCTGAATGGCTGTTTGTTGTTCTGGGAACACTGGCTTCTGTCCTGAATGGAACTGTTCATCCAATGTTTTCCATCATCTTTGCAAAAACTATAACTGTAAGCAAATCTAATTTGCTGATATTTCTAAAAATTCTCAACCAAATGTACCCAAAGAGAACAAGTTTTCTTCTCCATGACCCGACAATAGAAAATTGGGACTTTTTACCCAACATCCCTAGTGTGGAGACCATATGAAGGGTTAACAAATGTTCTCAGACAATGAACCAATGTCTGTTGTGAAGTGTTGGGTGGCCCTTGTTGGGTAGGTGATCATTAGAAAAATGTCTTTGTTTCCTCATTTTTATTTTTTTTATTAAATTTTATTAGTTTTAATGAACATTTACAGGGATTTTGGGTTTTCATTCCTTCATTACTGCACTATTCTCTCTACCCTCCTCCCCAGTTTGTTCTTCTTCCCCACCATCCGAATGTCTGTTTTAATTGTCCAATTGCCACAGTGCTTGTCAAAGTCAGTTCTGATTAATCTCCTTTGTCGGTGTGTCCTTTGCCATTCCCTATCACTCCTCCCTGAGAAAGACTTCACCCTGATTCATAAGGAAAAGGGGATGGCGTATTCTCTTAGCTACTTCCTGCTGAAAAGGGACGCTGTGGGTTTCAGGGTGAAGATCTTCTCTCACTACTCTAAAGGGCCCCTTTGGCAGTAGGAAACACATAGACTATTATGGAGATTGATTTTGGAATTTAGATGCACTATTATTAGCCGTACATGTTCATATCCCTGAAGATGTATCATGGGGGGGTTGCAACCTAGAAGACACAAATTTAACTAACAAGTTATATAAGTACATGAGTCAAAAATTATGGAAAAGTAAAAGAAAAGATTCTTTCGTTGTTTTACAAACCCTCCCCCAGGTCCACTCCACCGTGTAGCCCTCGCTCTAGACTCCTGTGATGACAGAAATACCTAGTCACATATCTCTTTTAAACAGTTTTCTCCCTCCTCTGTTTCAGTGCAGTATACATTATTGAATACATCTTATTCAGTCTCTCCCCAACCCTGAGGTTAGTCCCATTCTACAACAGTGGCATCATGTAATATTTGTCCTTTTGTGACTGGGATATTTCACTAAGCATAATGTTCTCCAGAGTCAACCATTTTGAATAATATTGCATGAGTTCCTTGTTTTTTAATGCAGCATAGTATTCCATTGTGTGAATATGCCACAGCTTCTCTAGCCATTCGTTTGTTGATGGGCACTTAGGTTGTTTCCAACTCCTTGCTATTGTGAACAAAGCTGCAATAAACATGGGTGTGCATATATCTGCTTGGATGTCAGTTATGGTCTCTTCAGGGGATATTCCCAGTAGTAGAACTGCTGGGTCAAATGGTATCTCTATTTGCAACTTTTTGAGAAAGCGCCATACTGCTTTCCACAGGGGTTGCACCATTTTACACTCCCACCAACAGTGAATCAGGGTTCCAGTTTCTCCACAACCTCTCCAGCATTTGTTGCTTGCTGTTCTGTTAAATTTTGCTATTTTGACTGGGGTGAGAACCAATGTCTGTTGTGAAGTGTTGGGTGGCCCTTGTTGGGTAGGTGATCATTAGAAAAATGTCTTTGTTTCCTCATTTTTACTACAGAGTTAGATCAGTATTCCAGACACTAAAGCATGAAAACACACAAATATGATTGTCTTTCAACTATGCAGAACAATAGCAATTTTTTATTACCAGTCAGCTCAGGTAGAGGAAGTAATAAGAGTTCAGCATTGCGCTGAAGTGGATGGATTCAGGCTCCTACTAGATTTGTGCCGAGTCTTCGAGTCACTGATCTGCACAGCTACACTTAACCAACGTGATGCCAATATGCACATGACACTGTTTTTGTGACCGTTGAACTGAAATGGACCCACAGCTGACCCACCATAGATTTTCAGAGGCAATAAATCCCACAGGAGAAGATTCCATCTTTCTTTCAGCTGATGGGTTCAAATTGCATGCCTTTAGGATTTCAGTGCAGCTTCTTACCATGAAGTCACTAGAGCACACTAGTTTTTAAAACAATTTGCAATTTTAGGAACTATAACCATTAGTTTCTGAATCCGTTTCTGTAGATATATATGGAGATTTCATGTTGCAGGTACTACTCTAAATAGAAGAATTTTAAGGAACTTCAAATGTTATTAGAAATAACAGCTCACTCAAACACACTGAAGATTTCTTTGAAATGATACTATAATAATAGTAGTAGATAGAGGCCCTCTTGCCTGATCATGCATAGTATGTGAGATAATTAAAGGCAAATTTTATTTATCACATGAAATGAATGTAAATAGAATAATGACACATATCCCCTCCCCATTCCCCAGATACATGTATTCAGATAAATCAGGGGGGATGTTAGGATTATACATTTGGAGTTGGTTTTTTTTTTTACCTTTCTCCAAACCCCTGACAATGTTTTTGGTTTTTTCCCCCCCTCTTTAGATGTTTGAAAAAGATGATCAAGCCACATTAAAGAGTGAGGCAGAAACATATTCCATGTTATTTGTGATTTTGGGAGCCATTTGCTTTGTTGGTTATTTCATGCAGGTAAGCTTTGAATAGATAAAAAAATAAGTTTTAACATGATTACGTTTTTGTATCATTCTCCATGTTTGTTTTTAAAAATTACTAAATGTTTAAAAGAAATAGAAAGTTAAGAATAAACGTAAGGTTGGTTTTTTTTTCTTTGTCGCTTCATTCCCTAGGGCTTGTTTTATGGCCGAGCAGGAGAAATATTAACAATGAAATTAAGGCACTTGGCATTTAAAGCCATGTTATACCAGGTCAGTGTTGCCTTAAATTTCTATTATTTTATTTAAAATTTGTTTTAAAATACTCTAACTTCTTTACTCAACTACTTTCCTCTGGTCATTTAAAAACATACATTTTTTTTTTTGTTCTGAACTACAGAAAATTCTGCTGTCAGCATTCTTAAAGTGTATTTTCCTGTTAGAAGCAAGTTCAAAATTGTCATGTTCCAAAATACAACCAAAAGAAAGTAAGAATTTAGGGCCCACTCTTTGTTGCGTGCACTTTTTCCTTCACACATCTTTCTATCCATACATAATATAGAGTTTCCGAATCCACAAAGACCAAATGGAAACTGAAAAGCCTTGTCGTTATGTGCTGTGGAGTCAGAACTGACTCATAGCTGACTCTCCAGAGAGGTTTCAGAGGCTGTAAATCACACAGGGAAGAGATTGCCCATCTTTCTCCTAAGAAGCAGCTGGTGAATCTGAACTGTGTCTTCGGGTTGGCAGTGCAACTCCTGACCACTAAGCCACCAGGGAGCAATAATAATGTTTTTAAATCTTTGAAGGAAAGTTGTTCTTTTCTCTTGTTCTTAATGGTGTGCACAGATTAATGTCTTTCCACTCCAGACTACAAAGCACCCACTTTCTCTATCCTGATAGGAAAACTTCTAAACTCAGATAGCATCAGTCTAGCTGGCAGGAGGGACCACCTGCCTCCTACAGATCATCAATCACACCTATGAAATAACTAAAAATAGTTGGATTAAGCAGTAATCTTAAGTAGTGAGTCTTGGGGGCAAATGGCAGACAAGTCTCAGATTGGTACTTTTAAAATTCTTTTATGAAGGCTGAGGTGGATTGGGTTACCCTGAGAGCCAGTAATCATTCGGAGCCCTTTGCACACTTTCTGTCACCAAAGCTTGCTGTACAGGAGCAAATAGCTTCCTGCCAAGGTAATTTCTTCTCAGAAATAGACTTACTGTCACTCCAGCCGAGTCATCAGAACCAGGTTTTACATCTCGGGACTTTTAGGAGTGTTACTGTGATGATTGGCAGTGTAACAAGATGCCTCAGCTCTCTCTATACACTTGAGGAACTGTGGGAGAGAAAACGCAGCCAAGGAAGGTAGTGAAGTTCTGCAGCTCTTGTGACCCTCACGTCCTCTTCCCAAGTGTCAGGTCTCTGATTTTGCTTTCCACCTTTGGAGACTTGCCTTAATCTGGAGGGGAAATGTACATGAGGGACCAAGAACAATTTAAGGCTGCATGTAGCTCTCCTGTCAAAATTGTACTTTATTTTTGGTTTAGCAGTAAGGGGAGGTTCAACACCTTATATTTTTTTACTCCAAATCTTTTATGGAATAAGATGAATTTGTTAAAATTATTTTCTCTGAGTGGAACTTTACAAGTCACACTGGATTTTTTTATATAATCATTTTGTTGTATAACCTTAATTGCCACTGATTAACACAATAATGAACTAAAATGTCTAATCAACCCTTTATTGTGTATTGTCTTTCCTTTTACCCAACTAACCCATTTATTAAATTTACTTCTCTCTGTTGCCCTTCCGACCCTTGTCATTCCTCCAAGATTGATTCTCTGAAAATTTGTCCCTACTTTGTATAACAGTAGTTGGAATAAGGTGAAATCTTAACTAACAGTACCATACTTGTTGATTATTTCTACTGCTTTTTTTTTTTTTTTTATTTTCTTTGCAAATTTTGGTTGCATTTGCCTATTCAGAGAAAATTATTTTACATTTCCTAGATTTTTCCCAAATGCTTCTTGAGTCTATGGATGTTTTGTACAGGTAAACATAAATGATAACTTTTTTCCAAAAGCTTTTCTTTTAATCTATATTCTCTTCACAGACTATGCAAGGTCATTAACAAGTATGACCAATAAAACTACAATGAATCCAATACCCTAAGGGTTAATAGTGGACATTGCTCCTCTGCTTAGCAGTAACTGAGTGGATACCACGGCAGAGACACTCTAGGAATGAGTACCCCATCCGTACGTTATGTATGAATCGTGGACCTCCAGAAAGCACGCATGTACTTACAGCTAAATATATTCAGAAACTCTATGACATTGAACAGAAGTGATAAATCCTCCCATAGCTTCAACTCACACCTTTTAAGCATGTCATTGGTTTCCCTCTTCATCCTCTATAAATTTTTTCTCTTTTTTCATACCTTTGTTTTTTAATATTATAAGAAGGATAGAGCATTTGGTCTGTTTAAGTATCTTCTCAATTATGCTTTTGTATATAAAAAACCCCTCCTCTTGGAGGTTTTACCTAACTCATAATACCCGAGTTTTATCCCAAGATAAGACTTATTATGGCTTAGAAAACATGCTGAGGCTTGTGGTTCTTTTTGTAACCATTCTGAACCCTCTTTTGAAGTTGAGGTATTTATGGAATCAGGAGTGGTCTTTTTATAGGTTTAGAACCTGAATTTTATTTGATTACCTGCTATCCGTCAAGGTTTAGATTTATTCCTAGTAAAAGGAATGTTCTAATTGTCACTGTAAATGCAGGGAGATCTGTGAGAGTCAGAACTCAACATGACTGCTTTTATTCAGCTTTCCAAAGGTTTTTGACGAAGTGTAATCTTACCATGTTGCTTTTGCTAGTAGAGGAAAATACTTGTGTTTTCCTTCTCTGGCATGCTTCTCCCTTACACAGGTTCCAGCTTTCACAGGTTTTACTATAAATTATGTACAGTGTGTTTCAAAGCTAAATTTATGTTTCTTAATAATTAATGACCAAAGTAGGAAAAGAGAACACTCTATAATTTAAAATTAAGAAAGGGATGCATCATGGTTGTACCCTTTTCTCCCTATCTGTTCCGTGTGTATGGCATGTAAATTCTTCAAGAAGCTCAATTCTGTGAACAAATTCTGAACTATAGCTTTCTCCTCAATTCTGGTTTTTCTGATAATAAAGATAAATAAAATAAAAATAACACAGACTGTTGTGTGAAACCCACAAATTCTGAACTGAAGCTTTTCAAGTATGTGGAATGAGGACAGGAGGAAGACTCATAAATAACCTTCCTTATGCAGATGACACAATCTTCCTTGCTGAAAGTGAAGACTTATCGCAGAAGATGAAACACTTCAGGCTTCAATATGGATTACATTTCAATATCAAGAAAACAAAAATTCTCACCACTGGACAAATAAGCAGTGTCATCATAGATGGAGAAAAGATTGAAGTTGTCAACAATTTCATCTTACTTGGATCCACAATCAATACTTGGCACCAATAGTCAGGAGATCAGGAGAGTCTACTCCTGAGAATTTACCATAGTAAAGTCTACAGTCAAGGACCTCTCCAAATTATTGAGGAACAATGAAGTTAATTTTTTGGGTTTTGTGGTGTTTTTTATACTAGTTTATTTACAAAGTTCTTACGCCTTGTTTAACACAGGATCTTTCCCATTTCCTTCACCACCACCCCTCAAATTGTCCGAACCTATGATTAACCACCCTCCACCCCCTGCCCATTCTCACCCCTCTGCTCTCCCCTCCTTGGATCCTCATATTTATTCTATAATAATGTTTTATACAGTATTTGTCCTTATAGGACTGAGTTAGTTCACTCAGCATAATGCTATCCAGTTAGTTCCTCAGCAATGATGTTAGTTCGAGGACTAAATTGTTCTTAATTCAGATCATGGTCTTTTTAATCACTTACTATGCATCTGAGAGCTAAATAAGGATAACAGAAGAATTGATACCTTTGAGTTTTGCTGTTAGAGAAGAATACTGAATATCCCATGGACTGCCAAAAGAACAAACAGATGTGTTTTAGAGAAGGTACAATCAGAGTGCTTTGGAGCCAAAGATGGTGAAGTTATCATCTAACACATCTTGGGCATGTTGCTAGGAGACACTAGTTCTAGGAGAAGACATCATGCTTAAGAAGATGAACTTACAATGAAAGAGAGAAAAATCCTCAGCCAGGTGGAGTAATAGTGACTGCAGCAATGGGCTTGAGTGGGTCAGAAATTGTGAGGTTGGCACAGGATAGGACAGGGTTCAGGTCTGTTGTTCACAGGGTGACTATGAATCATACTCAGCTCAAAAAAACCTAGCAACAACAACGATGATAAATGCAAGTCCTAGTAGAACTGTGGGTAAAAGCATCTTATCGCCAAACACAAGGTAGGCAGTTAGCAGGACAAGGAAGACCTTCTAGCAACATACCCAAAATATGTGAGATCAAACTTAATCATCTTAGCCTCCAAGGAGCACTCTCACTGACAGTCTACAAGACATACCTGTTTGGGTTTTTGGCAGTCCAGGGGATATTCAGAACCCTTCTCCACCATCACAACTCAAAGGCATCAATTCTTCATCCATCATCCTTATTCACTGTTTAGCTCTCAACAGCAGAGCAAGTGACTGAAAATTAACATTACTCCTCAATAATTTGGAGAGATCCCTGACTGCAGATGCTCCCAGTGTGATACATCTCTGATCTGCTGATTGCTGGTACCAAATGTATTGATTGTAGTTTCAAGTAAGATGAAGTTGTTGACAGTTTCAATATTTCATCCATTAATCACGGTGTTACCTATTTGTACAGTGGTGACAATTTTTGTTTTCTTGACCCTGAGATGCAATCCCTATTGAAGGCTATAGTTTTTAATCTGCAGGATGCTTTTCAAGTCCTCCTCAATTGAAACAAGCGAGGTTGTATCATTCTAATGCCACATTCTTCTTCACAGAGCCTAGCTTCTCGAATGATTTCCTCAGCATACAGATTAAATAGATATGGATAAAGGATACAAACCTGGCACATAAGTTTCCTAATTTTAAACCATACAGCTTCCCTTGTTCTATTTACACAACAACCTCTTGGTCCAGGTATAGATTTCTCATGAGCATAATTAAATGCTCTGGGATTCCCGTTCTTTTTTTGGGGGGTGGGGGGTGGATTCCCATTCTTATCAATGTTAACCATAATTTATTATGATCCACACAATTAAACATATAAATATGTAAACTATGTAA